GACGGTCAATCCCATTATTCGTTGGTAAAAGAGTAGCCCAAGAGTTGGCGGTGGGTGGTGATGACTAGCTGCCTTCCCTCTAGTCTTACACTGGTAGATTAGTGACGGCTAGCGCAGATAGCCCTCGTGTAGCTTTGCGCGAAATTCAAAAGAAAACAAACCAAACTCCCCGAATTAAGTATTGCTTAAACTTGAAGTGAAAACGACCAAATGAGATATTAATGTCTGTAGATTATACTGTAAAAAGAAAAAAAAACTTATAAAAAGTTTTACTCGGGATTTAATAAGTGATGTTTAATCTTTATTGAAATGTCTTTAGATAACAGAGAAAACTACTGTTGGTTTGTTGCTAGTGCAAAGCTGTATTGTACAAATGGGCCATGTGTACTGTATCCACTTGAACTTTAGCGATATAAGCTCTGAAATTTATCGCTGAGTTATCAGGTAGGGCGAGGGGGAATAAATTAAAATTAATTTCTAACTTCGATATATCTAGAATGTACTTAGTCTGTGATATTCCTATATTAAACAAATTACGTTTAGGGGAATTGAACCTGACTTCGTCCCCCAGTGGGAAAGCGGTAAGTCGACGAACTTATAACGTTAAAATCCGGGGGTTCGCTTCCAGTGATGGAGAGAGCAAATAGCCTAATGCAGCTTTGCTCTAAAAAAAAAAACTATACAAGCACGACTTCAGGACAAATTTTATTTTTAAAACTTTAGTCTAACAGAAAGACAGCAGAAATAGTCTCAACCAATAATGGAGAGGTAAGATTTAGCGATTGCTTCAATCTTATAAAGTGCCATATTTTTAGTGTTTTTTTTAGCAGAGTGGGGGCCAAATTTTAGAAACCTCAAGAGTCAGTAAAGTGAATTACAACTGACAAAGACACACATCATTCAGAAATGGTAATAACTATTAGTAAACTGGCTGATGTTTGGTCTTTTAGTTAATGCGGTACGTTCTTCGCCATGATACAGAATAGAAATAGACAAAATAGGTACTGCCAAAATTATAAACATTATAACCATTGACAATCGAATTATTTGTTACCAACAGCAATCAGATGATAAATATGTAGTTACCAGCTTAGAAATAGTATAAAAGAAAATCTATGTTTAATTACTGACTAACTTTAATTTTTTGATTGCAAGCTTACTAATACATTCCATACATAACACAAATTCACCTTGTGGTAACACCGATACCGGATATAATAGAATTTTGGGGGAAAAATAACGTGAAAAAATATAGTGATAAACAGAAGTTAGTAAAAATTATCATTTTATGTTCACAAACTAAACAAAAACATTATTTCAGTGATTTTTAAATACATAATGAGTATAAAAATTTCCACTAACTGAAGACAGATCAACTCTTTATTTATTTGTTTGAAGTTAAGCGCAAAGCTACGCAATGGGCTATTTGTGCTGTGCCCACCACGGGTATCGAAACCCGGTTTCTAGCGTTGTAAGTTCGCAGACATACCGCTGTGCCACTGGGGGGCTTTATTTATTTGTTTGAAGTTAAGCACAAAGCTACACAATGGGCTATCTGTGCTGTGCCCACCACGGGTATCGAAACCCGGTTTCTAGCGTTGTAAGTTCGCAGACATACCGCTGTGCCACTGTGTTATTACAATTTTAATTCTTTTTACATACCCCTTGTGTTTAGTAGCTTAAAAACTTTATGGAGTCGACGCCAGTTGTTAGCATATCGCAGCTAGCCCATTGTGCAGTTTTTTCTTAAGCAACACAAACAAATCAAATATGTTTAACCCGTATTTTTAAAAACGCTGTTATAGGTCATATTATGACGTTGTGTAATTAGATGTAAACGTTCTGAGAGATCAAGTCTACACATGTTTTTCTTGAACGTGTTTTGTAATGATTAATGTTGTCTCTACTTACTTTTCCTAAGCCTAGAGTCTCTCGCTTGCTAGACATTCTAAGCAGTCCTGGAGGAAGAGGCGGTGGAGACAGTTTGAGAAGATCGCCGAAGCTCCTATGGTATAACAACGGATAAACCGATCTTTCCGACATTTGATGTTTTTTCTTCTTTCTCGCAGTCTGTAAGTTAAGCCTTTGAGCTGCCCTGAAAAATAATTAACGAATCTTATAATGATAACATGTACATGCTGGACTGTCGATGAAGAAATATTTTTCTGAAACATAAAATGAATTATTTGCGTACATGACCTTATTATAGCAGAATATTATTCCTGTAAAGTATAATGCTAAATCAGTATTGTCGAGTATCTAGGAATATTGAAGACATGCGTAGATATACATAACAATAATTTGTGATTTATCGTTTCTAATCATATAATGGTTATAAAAAACGTCTTTATAGTAAAATCTCACTGTAAAGATGCTCCATTATACGTGTGTATATGCGTGTGTCTCTCTCTGTGTTAATATCCATCATTTAGAGTTGGCTGGCTCGATTATTTAATTTTGGGTATGGTAACTAGAAACTTTCCCACGGTGTGCATGGGCTATTTTGTTTTAGGATTTTTGTGTGAGAATAGGAATAAAAAATACTCTGAATATGACACATTTTTCTTTTCTATAGACTTCTGGCTTTGAAGTTAAAGACACAAGTACTTACTCAATAAATTGGGTCAAATATTACTTTCCACAAAGCAGGATGTGCAAATAGCATCTAATGAGGTCGTTAGTGATTTAATAACAAAAGGAAGAAGGAAGGGAAACATTATCTAAAATCGTCCTTTATACAGTCCTTGCTTCCTTAGCTAGTATTAGTTCACAGTTTCAGGAGCAATGTCTACAGGACTGTGACACAAATGCCACTTCTAAACACTTCAACAACTTGGGGAGTACGGATAGCAAAGAAATGCTACGCACTAAGGAAAGTTTGTGAATACACAATATGCGTCCTGAATTAAATATTAATCAAGTTAGCTAGTATTAATAGAAATAATATACGTTATTAAATTGTTTCAACACATCATTTCTTATAGTTTTGTTTTCCAGAAGTAATTGCACACAAACAAGAATACCTTAGTGGGATGGTATTAGAAAAACATCTTAAGGTGATCAGATCTAACATTTAACTGTCCTTTCAACTGACACTATGAGATAGTAGGGAAATACTTGAAGGAGAAAAATGAATATGACTAAAACTAGAACGATTAACAGTCTGCTTTACGATAAGAGTAGAACACTTGACAAATAATGCTTGGTAAGTATGAGACTGTACATATCGTGAGACTGTACGTCACGTGAACGTTAAGCTGGCCTTTAGATAGCTATATAAAGAATTAAAGTATGCTTCTCAGTCGTGAGATAAAGATAAGGGAAGTAAGGAGATTGGTATGCTATAAACTAAAAACGAATATGTACTTCAAAAGCCAATGATGTAGGTTTTTCTCGAAATTCTGATAAAATGGAAATGTATGATGTTTTTTCTTACATACTTGGGACTGATACGGTCGGAAATATAAAGTCATTTTTTTTACAAGGAGATTGAAGCTGTGTGTTACATCACTGCCATTTAAAATAAGTTCAATCATTAATACAAATTATGCCATTTAGTAATATAGTTTACTGAATATTAATGTTTTACTGCAAGACAATATCAATACTGTGTGACCTGAAAGTTGTATTACTGTGTGTTATCAAAGAAAGGCATTACTAAAAATAATTACAAAACATATAATAGATCACGTGAGAGTAGTGGGCGAATCATATTATTTTATGCATTATTTAGATAACAAACAAGTTAGATGTCTAGACAAACTTAAAATAAATCTATATGATTATCTTCTATATAGTTATCCAGGGTTCTTTAAAATTTCTTTAATATACACATTGCACTTACTCTTTCGTTCGCACTGTAAATAAAATCGTGAAGAAGTTAATATTAAATGTAAACTATATGTTTATCAACTGATCATTTTAATACAAACTTAATATAACTAGTACTGATATAATTATAGTATTTTGGCACTTGTGTATAAAGTTAAAATCATAAATAATATTCAACGTTAAACTGGTACACAATTTAAAAATTTTTATTTAGGCCTATCTATGACCTTCAAATAGTTGACGACGTCATCCTCAACGTCGAAACATGTAGAGTTGTCAACTATACTTTATACTTTGGACATGACAGATTAATGACGGAGTCTTTTGCAATGGAAAATATGTTGAAGGACTATTGTCAATACAGTAGTAATCAGATAGAGCAGCACTGCACATAGAAACACGAACTGTAAAAGCACTGTCAGGCTCGAAAAATAATTTATCTATACGGATCACAATGGCAACCAAAGTAGGTATTGAAAATCGTTTAAAAATCTATTAAACTAGTGTCACTTTACTTGTTTGTGTACTTTTTATTGCAACATTTATTTTGTTTTGAATACTTCTTATAGCAATTCTACGAATAACCAATGATCCCTACTTTCCTTTTAAATTTTATTTTACTTTTCCTGTTAATTTCATATGTATATATATATCCTGTTAAAGTCGCCAGATGCAGCGCCTATGGATTTCTGTGTGATCGAACATTTCAAAGGGGCACCGGAAAATTGTCGTCATCATACAGCAAACGGCTTATGGAAGGCCAGCATGGAAGAGGGGTGGGCTTTGGCCATGACAGCCTAATGACGAAGTCTTTTGCAATGGAAACTATGATGAAGGGCTATTGTTAATATAACAGTAAAACACCAAAATCCAGGGCTCGATTCCCCGCGGCGGACAGTCTTTCGTGTAGCTTTGCGCTAGAAACATGTCAACAAAACGGTTTATTATTTTTCATTATATGCTGAAGCAGTTTCTTGGCAAATTATGTGTATACTGAATATATATATTCATTATATTTGGATGTTGTCTAGGATCAATAAATTAGACTTACCAAGTTGTAAAAAAAACTTGTGTACATTTGATAACTTGTGTACATTTGAAAGTTAACCATATTGCAGAAAACACAAAATAAAAGAGAATAAGTTGTACAATGCTTTAGTGTTTTGTATTTGCTATAAATATAGCATTGCACCACGTTCTTCTACTACTATGAAATTAATCAATATATAATTGTGAAATATTATTTTCTTGTTTAGTTTACTAACTTACATCACTGATTTGGAAGGTTTGTTTGTCTAGTTTAGTAATATACATTATTGATTTGGGAGGTTTGTTTGTCTAGTTTACTAAACTACACGAATGATCTGGGAGGTTTGTTTGTCTAGTTTACTAACTTACACGATTAGCTTGGGAGGTTTGTTTGTCTAGTTTACTAACCTGCACGATTGATTTGGGAGGCTCATTTGTCTAGTTTACTAACTTACATTATTGATTTGGGAGGTTTATTTGTCAAGTTTACTAACTTACATTGTTGATTTGGGAGGTTTGTTTGTATAGTTTATTAACTTACATTATTAATATGGGAGGTTTATTTGTCTAGTTTACTAATATACATTATTGATTTGTGAGGTTTGTTTGTCTTGTTTACTAAACTGCACGATTGATTTAGGAGGTTTGTTTGTCTTGTTTACTAATATACATTATTGATTTATGAGGTTTTTTTTGTCTAGTTTACTAAACTATACGATTGATTTGGGAGGTTTGTTTGCCTAGTTTACTAACTTACACGATTGGTTTGGGAGATTTGCTTGTAAAGTTTACTAACCTGCATGATGGGTTTGTGAGATTTTTTTTGTCTAATGTGAGACCTAATTTATCCTTAGTTATGATATCGAGTTTGTTTCAGAAATATGTTAAGTGAATGAAACTTTTGAATATTTCACAACCGGTCGTTGGGTATCTCGAAAGGTATAAAACCAAGCAGGATTTTTTGTTGTTTTTTTTATACTGCTTCAGGAATTCTTCATTAAGTTGGTTTTTTGGCTTTGAAATGTATACAATGTAATTAACTGTAACGGTTAACTATGATATCAGTAATGTCCAAATGAGATTTACTTTGATATAAACTACTATGATCATGAATTGTGTAAGTAATATGAAACTGCTGATGCAGTTTAAATAAGATATATAAGTAGCGAATGCATCCTGATATGTAAGTAGATGTGGTTGGGGAATGGAGGATGAAGGGGGAGGAGGTTTGACTGTTTAAAAAATATGCTTTAGAGTAGGCGGATTAACGAGTAACTGGTCCCTCGTTTTCCGTTAGCGGTAAGTTACAAGTGACGAGAGAAGGAAAAAGGAAAAGCTTAACTGTAAGTTTACAAATCAATAAAGTAATATGTATGAGATTATGTTGCAACTAAGAACCATTACAAAACATCATCAGAATGTAACCATCTTCAAAATATAAAAAAAAACGTTCATGTAGAGTAAACACTAGCAGTTTTAGCATAAGGAAAACACGAAGAAAGTGAAATAAAAAATGTAATTACTTAAGACTAGCAAAAAATACATGAGTTCATAGGCCTCCTCTTGATTTACAAAAGTCCCAAGAAACAACCAAGCTCATCGATTATCCTCAAGGGCTTCTACACCTATTCCTAAGTTGGCTCATATCCGACAATATAACCTGTTATGACACCTACTCTTGGTACCTGAGCACGTATACCAAGTTTGGTCCTGCTAGCTTGTAAGTGGAAGTATGAACATATTATAGTTTCAAACGTGGCCTTCTACACCTATTCCTAAGTTGGCTCATATCCGACAATATAACCTGTTATGACACCTACTCTTGGTACCTGAGCACGTATACCAAGTTTGGTCCTGCTAGCTTGTAAGTGGAAGTATGAACATATTATAGTTTCAAACGTGGCACCCCGGGATCCGATGACAAAGTATGATTTGGTGACCCTGAAATTCTGTTCCTAGACAACATCATACCTGATTGATCTTCCAGGCGTGTTTTAGCCTCCCCTTGGTACCACAAATAAGTGATAATCGTTATCTACGCCCTATAGAAAACAACGCCCCAGGGGTCACCCCGATTCCGCCTGCCAAGTTTACTCTCCTGCTAATTCCGAAACTGTGGGGGGAATTCCAGGGCACACAAATATACAACGTGAATTAATATAGGATACACAACCCTAACCACGTCAAGTTACTGAACATTTTGGAGTATAAACAATATACTTTATAAACGTACAG